CGTGTCTCTCTGGGTCGTTTAAGTGTTCTGCTTATACTGACTTCGACCCAAGACTGGAGTGGAGCTGACGGTATTTGGGTATCTGGAGTTCCCCCATATTTCTATATCGATTTGAACAAAAGTTCTTTGTTATATGGTTCGCAACATTAATTATCTTTCCAAATTTGGGAGAAACATTCGCCATACTGGTGGTGGTTGCAAGTATTGCCCCACCCTTATAACACATTCCGTCTCTTATTTATGCCTCGCACCATTACTTCCAAATATGCGAAAGTAATTTCTTCTTCTTCCTCCTCCTCTCTTAATATTTCATCTAAGCCCGCCGTTTCGCCTGTTTCTTTGACAAATCCGATTTTAAACCGAGTGGACGAAAGGGAGGTTCTTAATTGTAATTAACTTAATTTTCGACAATGAATTTTCTCAGTTCCCGGTCCTTTTTATTTTAACAGACATTTACCAGCTGTTCCGCCGACTTGCAAAACTTGTCTTCATATCTTTTCGCCTAATCGTACTCATGAACCTTACAGGTCAGTTTCGTATTTCCGTTTCTTCGAGCGAAGAATAAAATCATATTTCTCAAAACCGGAGAAGCTATCTCATTTATTTGACAGACAGGCATAAATCAGTTTCTCAACTTTGTCTTCGTTTTTAAAATTACCAAATATTATCGCTCAATTGACCCCTTCTTCCGTCTGGTAATCATGAGACATGTTTTTGTAACTTCCACTTTAATTAAGCGAACATAAATCAATTTCTCAGTTTCTCCTTCCGTTTCCAAAATTCTCAACTAACCTCGAATGTACTTTCACTATGACTTCTCGGGCCTCGTGTGTTGAAGTCTTCCACATGGCGTCTGATAATATCTTTCTCAAAACCAATAAAGTCATTCTTTTCAGGTGTGTATTTTCTTCAAGTTAGATTTTCAACAGGAGACCATTTCGTTCCTTCTTTCAGTTTATATGTAATTCCGTACTTTTAACTCTCTCCGTCTGTTCCAGTTCATATTTTAAATTAACCCTTTTCCTTTACTAGTGTCATTTAGTGTCACACTTACATACATACATACTTACCACATCGACTTCAATGGAGATAAACCAGGTACTGTACGCGTGGATGTGCGGGTGGTGTATTGGATAATGGCTCGGAATTGTTAATCAGAGAACCGAATTCCAATTCCCGTTGGGTTCGGCATATTCACTTATGAGGAAATACCCTTGGGAAAGGCATGAATCCACCTCTTCTCCACCCGGCTATGGGTTAATTAGTAAGACGTGTATCACTAAACCTTTATAATGTAAAAAGTCTGACATTCTAAAAATATTTTCTGGTTTTAAATAATCTGCAAAATCGTAAAAAACGAATCGATCAATCAAATAAAAATCAATTGCAAGAAGAATATATGGTTATCAGCAAAAGGAAAAGTCCAAGATATGAACTATGAGATGGAGATACCAAAATCATGAAAGTACACAAAATTTGATTATCTAGGGAGTATTTTAACAGAGGACGGAAAGTATGACACTGAAATCCAAAGGCGCATTGGGATAGCGAAAGGTGCCTTCCAAAAGCTAAGCAAAGTATTAAGAAACAGGGAAATTTAAATATCTGGGAAATGTTTTAACAAAGGGCGGAAAGTGTGACACTGAAATCCAAAGGCGCATTGGGATAGCGAAAGGTGCCTTCCAAAAGCTAAGCAAAGTATTAAGAAACAGGGAAATTTAAATATCTGGGAAGTGTTTTAACAAAGGACGGAAAGTGCGATACTGAAATCCGAAGGCGCGAAAGATGGGATAGCGAAAGATGCCTTCCAAAAGTTAAGCAAAGTATTAGAAAATAGGAAAATTCTGTTAGGAACAAAGAAAAAGGTGCTTGCCTGCTATGTCATGTCGGTCCTCTTATATAGCAGTGAAGGCTAGACAATCTCCTCATAAATGACTTGAGGCAACAGAAATGTGGTTCTACAGAAGGATACTGAGAATTCCATAGACTGAACATATGAAGAACGACGAAGTTTTAGAAAAAATGAAAGAAAAGGACACTTAGACTCAGAAAGCGACAATTGACATTTCTAGGGCACATAATGAGGAAAGAAGGCTTGGAAAATATAACACTCGCAGGACATGTTGACGCTAAGAGAGACGAATAAACTACCTAACGAGCTTGTGTAAATGGTTGGCAGAAACAGGGATTAGGAGACGTAACAAAAAGAGAAGCATTACGAAGCACTGAAAAGGACAGGAAGATGTGGAGAACCATGATCATCCACGTTCTGAGGGGACACGGAAGATAGAAGAAGACCATCGCTTCCCCCAGGATAATGACGCACACTTACCCTGCCGCCCACTTTATTCAAGAGAAATTAAAATTTATTGGACCAGACGACTTTGGTGATTGACTGACTTGCAGCAACATGGCTCCATAGATCGTATCTGTTCATTCACCTTGATTAAACTTCTCTGCTATTTGTATTACATTCAGCATTCTGTTGAACACTACTTGGCGAGAAAGCACCCGTTTAATTCGCCCAGTAATTTGCCAGTAGTCTATGATATTTTTCCTTCCTTGTGTTAACCGATTAGATGCTTCTTTCTTTCTTTCTTTTTAATAAATATTCACCTAATACAAGACCCAAGAGCCTCTCAAGTTAGAGGCTTACTAAGTGCATTTGAGAAATAAAGAAAAAGTAAGAAATGTTTCTGTTTTTAATAAATATTCACCCAATACAAGCCTCGAGATCCATTCAAGGTAGAGGGTTATTGAATAACGTTATATGGATGTAAGAGGAGAAAGTAAGCGCTGATTATGAGGATATGTAGGATAGATAACGGTTGAGTTGAAAGAGTTGAGATTGTAGCGATCTAGAAAGTATAAGATCAGGAGTTTGTTCCACTAAGTGGAAGTTCTTGGAACTTTCTTCCTACCAATGGAATACGAAGGGAATGAAAATAGGTTGTCCCTGGTATGTGGCACGGTGGGTCCTAGTCGTAAAGATCTGAATTGTGGAACTAATGAATGTAACATGTTTGAACAAATCGCATGAAAATAGCGATAGAGTTGCGACGTGTCATCTGTTGGAAAAGCGTTGTAAAGCAAAAAAATAAGAAAGCGTAAAATCTTTTCAACTCTGCTATGACTGGAAGATGAGAATTGGGCAGCAACGGCACAGATATAGCAGTCATAATCCAGTTCTGGTCAAATCTGATTCGTGCAAGGAGAATGATAGGAGGTGTCACGTACTTTCTGGAGTGGTAAAAAAAGCCGACAATTTTGTCCAGCATCTTTAGCGATGGATTGTATATAGGAGTTCCACTTGATATCTGGAGAGAACATAATAACCAATAGACGTTCCACGAAAGGAACTTCATTCAGACTAAAACGGTTCATCATGACTGGATGAATATCAGGGTGTCCTCTATGATGATGAATAGTTACTGTCCATGTCTCAAGATATCTCGTCTTATTCATGATGTCTGGAGAGAACATAATAACCAATAGACGTTCCAAGGAAGGAACCTCATTGAGATTAAAACCGTTCATCATGCCTGGATGAATATCAGGGTCTGTCCTATGATGATGAATAATTACTGTCTATGTCTAAGGATATCTCGTCTTATACATGATGTCTGGAGAGAACATAATAACCAATAGACGTTCCACGAAAGGAACTTCATTCAGACTACAACCGTTCATCATGACTGGATGAAAATCAGGGTGTGCTCTGTGATGATGAATAGTTACTGTCCATGTCTCAAGATATCTCATCTTATTCTTGATGTGTGGAAAGAACTTTAATAACCACCTGACGTTCAACGCAATAAACATCATTGAGAGTATAAACACTTATGTTGACTGCAGAAAATTCAATGTTCTTCTCTATGATAATGAAATCATTACTAGTTTGTTTTTTGACGTTACAAGCCAGTATTTCTTCCATTGAGCTCTTAAAGCTCAATCAGATTAAAGATCAGCTGCCCAGCTCATTTTGATTTTTGGCGGTACACTCTGCGGTCATGGCATGGATTTATTTAGAAATAAAAATTTATGTTGTAATTTGTTCAGATAAGAAATCCAAACACCTTCAAAAAGTGTTATTAGTATTTCTTAAAAAATAAGGATAGATATTGTAAAATCAATATGATACGATATGATGTTCATGTAATATGAGCTCACCTTGAAAATATTGCCAACGTCGGTTGCTTAATTCCAATTTGATTGTGAAATAAAATATGTTTTAATGTGCGAGTGTCATTCAAAAACTTCGTGAAAATGGTAAAAAAAAGCAAACATTTTTAAGTATAATCTTTGTTTCTCCACATAAGCTCTGTCAACACAATCAATAATGCAATTGTTTTATACAATTCCGGAAGAACTGAAGCCATATCAAAGCATCCATTTTAACGCCATTAATAGTCTGAAAATAGGTATCCTTCAAAAGCGTTTTAGGGTAAGGAAATATGAAAAAGTCAGATGTTAAATCAAGACTACAAGGCAGTTTTGCAATAATTTCCCCGTGAAACTTCACGCAATGTTTCCCTTGCTTGATGAGAAAAACGAGCAGAGATATTGTCATAAATTTATCTCTCGTTTTTTGTTTTGATTTCTTAAATTTTCCTGGAAATGTAAAATTCTTAAAAGTAGAGAAATATGAGAATCAGAAATATAATAGATTAGATTAAAGGAAATAAGAACAGGAAGACTGTTGTGTATTATTTTTCTAATTGAGAGACGGCTTCTATGGGAAATTTTGGCTTGAATATTAACCGCTGGTGCCGACAGGAAATATGCAATTTTCTGAACAAAGTAGGAAGTTTTAAAACGGTTCATGCCATTTTTAACGGAACTCTGACTTTCAATAAGGACATTTATATTTGAAATTAGAAGACAGGTTCTTCATTTCGGAAAGATCATTCTCTTTTAAATACGATCTGATTTATTAAAACAAAAAAACAATGTCTTTCGTATCATTATAAAACATCGATCAGTCATTTTACCTGTCTCAGTTTGTTATCTATCTATCTATCTATCTATCTATCTATCTATCTATCTATCTATCTATCTAGTTCATTTTCTCTATATCTATCTATCTATCTATCTATCTATCTATCTATCTATCTATCTATCTATCCATTTAGTTCATTTTCTCTATATCTATCTATCTATCTATCTATCTATCTATCTATCTATCTAGTTCATTTTCTCTATATCTATCTATCTATCTATCTATCTATCTATCTATCTATCTATCTATCTATCTAGTTCATTTTCTCTATATCTATCTATCTATCTATCTATCTATCTATCTATCTATCTATCTATCTATCTATCTATCTATCTATTTAGTTCATTTTCTATCTATCTATCTATCTATCTATCTATCTATCTATCTATCTAGTTCATTTTCTCTATATCTATCTATCTATCTATCTATCTATCTATCTATCTATCTATCTCTCCATTTAGTTCATTTTCTCTATATCTATCTATCTATCTATCTATCTATTTAGTTCATTTTCTATCTATCTATCTATCTATCTATCTATCTATCTATCTATCTATCTATCTCTCCATTTAGTTCATTTTCTCTATATCTATCTATCTATCTATCTATCTATCTATCTATCTATCTATCTATCTATCTATCCACACACACACACACACACACACACACACACACACACACACACACACACATATATATATATATATATATATATAAAGGGAAGAGGTTATAGTTGTTCAAACGAGGGAAAAGTGTATATATTAAAAAAGAGGGAAACCGTAAATGTTTTTGGCTGTGACGTGGATTTTATTTTTAAATATATATTATACTTTATTTTCCAAAAACGTTTGCAGTTTCTCTTTTCTTTTAATATATAAAAAATATATATATATATATATATATATATATATATATATATATATATATATATATATATATATATCGTAATCTTTCGTCATAGACATAAATAAAAAAAAATCTCAATGCACAGCTCTGTATGACAAATCGTCTCCTTCGGGATTTTTATTTCCATCCATTACCGTTATCCATTTTTTAGTGTAACGATGACAAGCTAATCAGTTTGTAACATCAGGTTGAACGTAAATATATGCAAGCAATTGTCTCTAAAGATAAACACATTGTTTAATCTTTCAAAAAAAGAAATGTAATTCCCTACCTTTAAGATGTGCCTGTTTTTCCCAACAGATGGCGCCAGAAGAGTATGAACGGCGGTAAATATTGTCAAGGTTTTGTGACAGCAACTTTGATAACTTTGTTTCCATCTTTTTTTAAATGTTCTAGAAAACTACTAAATGGAATATTATATTCCTCTATATATCAACAATTCTCGTTTCATCAAATATTTATTCTATAAAAGATAAAAAGGCAGAAAGAAAAAACTGGGTCAGAGGCTAACTTCATTTAAGAAAGAAAGAAAGAAAGAAAGAAAGAAACTGAGCCTGAGGCTGTTCATTTAAGTAAGAAAGAAAGAAAGAAAGAAAGAAAGAAAGAAAGAAACTGAACTAGAGGATAAGTTCATTTAAGAAAGAACGAACGAAAGAGCGAAAGGAAGGAAGAAATAAACTGGACCAGAGGCTATGTTCATTTAAGAAAGAAAAAAAAGAAAAAATAAAGCAAGAAAGAAGCGGCGTAGAGATTAAATGCATTTCAGAAAAAAGAAACAATGAGAGACAAAAAAGCATCGAGGCAAAATGGAACTTAAAAAGAAAGAAAATACCGTAGAGGCAAATTATATTTGAGAGAGAGAGAGAGAGAGAGAGAGAGAGAGAGAGAGAGAGAGAGAGATTTGATGAACTCTCAGTTGTGGCCTTGAGTGTAAGCTTGTCGGTGGAAAGTGAGTAGGCGATGGAAGACGGTTCCTTTGAAATCGCGGATAGCCAAAGCAGCCCCTGTTGAAAACGAGTGCGTCTACTATATTTTTCTTTGCCGAATCCATTTATATTTCTGTTTAGAGGCATGGTACTTTTCAACACCAAAATAGAACGATTCTATTGATCCATTATTCTTCCTCGTTGTCATTTTGTATGGCAGAGGTAGAGCCAAGATAAACCGATTTTGAAATGTGCACAAAATCGAAAACCACGAGTTATGTTTCTTAATCAATATATGTGGGTAAGGCCCACATATCTCCACATCTTTTCACTCTCACTGTCTCAGACCGTGACTTCATCCTCGGACTATACGAATTCACAACCCTCTTTTGCTGTACCGACCTTCGGTTGAACTTTCACTACATCATCCGCGCTGACTTGATCTACCTAGGAGTAACCTTAATAAAAAAGAAATTGACAACTTACGTTGACAATTCGCTTTTATTAAGTCATAATCCACTTTACCGACGACCTTAGAAATTTCTCACTCGTGATAACTCTTAACAAATTAGCATCTTTAAGTCAACTGGACATTTACTTAGTTCGGCCAAATGTAACATGTGTTTCAGCTGATTAACAACTTCGTGACCGAGGATATTTTTTATCGCTGACGTATGTAGGCCAACTACTCAAAGATTAAATAGCGTCGTTGAAAAGCAGATATTTGTCAGAACAGTGTACGGATGTCTAATAAAGATAGTGTGCGGATGTCATAACAGAGATATGTGGATGTCATAATATAGATAATGTGTGGATATCATAATATTGATAATGTGCGAATGTCATAATATATATAAGGTGTGGCTATCATTAAATTTTTGAAGATCAAAGTTGATTGGAAAGCAAGTATCCGGGACAGAGTTCCACAGGCGAGAAGTGCGAGAGAAGAAAATATTGGCATAGAACATACGGTTACATCTAGCCATTTCAACTGTAAAATAACGAAACCCATATTATATACATACATAAGAGCGGCTATCAGAGCTAAAAGGGCGCTTGAACATTATCATTATTGTGATATCCACACATTATCTATATTATGACATCCACACATTATCTTTATTATGACATCCAAACATTATCTTTATTATGACATCCACACATTATATTATAGCATCGAAAGAAATTTTGATAAAATCTACCGTTTTGGAGTTATCGACAATAAAAATTCGGACTCAGTTGCGTCGCGGCAGCCGTTACTGGCGTTGTTTGCATATGTTTGCTGCTTAATTGACATTAACTTGTCTTGATTATTGCGCACGCAATGAGTCCTCGGTTGCGCAGTAATTGAAGCAAGTTAGATCAGTAAAAAGGCCGTTAACAAGATAATCTTCCGCGCATGTCTATTCAGCAGCGAATGTATGCAAACAACGTCAGTAATGGCTATCGTGCCGTAGCAGCCGACGACGCGAATGAGTCCGAAATTTTATTGTCCATATCTCCAAAACGGTAGATTTCATCAAAATTTCTTTGTTAGTTTCGAATTAAGCATGCGTATTTACACCGAAATATACTTATTCGAGAAATTTTTATTGCATAATTAGAGTGGGGCTTAAAAATCAAATTACTCAAACTTTTTAACACTAAAACCGTTACTGGCTGATTTTTTGGGATGAGGAGTTATCATTATTTACATTATTTATATTCCGACACTTGTCCTCATTTTTGTTGTAGTTGCTATAACAGCGTTTCAGCTGTTGTGTCCCCCGGCCTTCCTCGGTCAGGATAATCAAAGCAGTCCGTGATGTTTTTCACGTCGTTTGGGAAGAAATGATACACAAATAAGCGCGTCACGTACATAGGAAGCGCTTGGGGTGGGACCATTGCTTTTGCGCACACACATCAGTCATAGCTCGAACAACATTGAGAAAACCTGGCGGTGTCGAAGCAGCTCGTTCGGGGTTGTTTGCCTTATGTCTTTAAGGTGGTCTTGTCCGCAGCCGCATCAAGTCACCGAATACGTCAAACATTTGGGGATAATGATGTGAGTAAATGCACCGCTAGGCATTGGTTCCAGAAGTTCAAGTCGGGTAATCTGTTCCTTTGAGTCGAACCCCGCAATGGCTGGTCACGGGTCCTGGATGATGAGCCCTGAAGTCCGCTATACAAGCGGACAAAAAACCAAACCAACTGTGAGCTTGCCGTAGTCTTCCAGCTTTCTGATGAAATAGTCAAACTTCACCTACAACGCATAGAGAAAGCATACAAATGGAGCAAGTGGGCACCCCGCCAAGCAACAATGACTGACAGTCTGTTTCTCGTTGCTTTCTCGGCACCGCAACGTACCTATATTTGGTGGAGTGCTCACCAGTCATGAAAAGTAGTTCCTGTATGACACTCCCAAGCTTGCCAGACGTTGGTTATCACCTCGAGATCCTGCGCCTCACACCGCAAGATCACCTCTACACCCAGGCAGTATCATGCTCTGCATCTGGTGGACTAGTCGACATGTGGTGCACTATGCGCTGATACCAATGGGCCAAGCCATCATTACGGACCTGTATTCGCAGCAGTTGGAACGTGTGCAACAGGCACTGAATCAGAAGGAGCCTGCATTGGTTAATCGCAAGAGTGTACTGTTCCTCCATGACAATCCCAGACCTCATGTGGCGCAGGGGGTTAGGGATACCATACGGTAACTTGGTTGAGAGACACTGTATCATCCACCATACTCCACAGATATTGCGCCAACAGATTACCATCTCTTCTATTCCTTGGACAACCACCTTCGTGAGAAATCCTTCGCAAATGAGGCAGACTTGTGGCAGGCGCCCGCATACTCCTTTACGTCCGAGACACCTGATTCTTATCGCCAGGGCATTAGGCAGCTAGGGGCACGTTCTGGATGCCGATGGGGATCACTTTGAGGACTAATGGTATGCCAAATTTTCTGTATACTTTTTTTTTCTAATAAATAAATATAGGAAAGGACTTTTTTAGTTATCTTGTATATCTGGAAAACCTATAAAACGAGAACAGTTTATCCCCGTAGATTAAATAAAGGCTTCAGTTCAGAATTCTTTGTGGGTTAACCAGATCGATATATACCTACAGAAGGCCTGAGAGCACAATTGCCGAAATGTTGTGATGACAGCAACAAAGATGAGGATAATAGTCCCTATATAAATAATATAAGTAACTAAAACCATTAATTAAGCGTATATTTACCTTCAGACTTCGTTCAGATCGATCCATTTTTATTGAGGCAGCTCAAGGCAACACAAAAGAGCAACACGCTTTATCCTTGTCATATGTTTAAAAAATCTTTTTAACGGCAATATTTTTAACCTTCCTAAAAAATATGTAAAAATATATGAAGCGGGGAGTAGATTTATTAACACTAAACTTATTACTGACTGATTTCTCTGGATGAGGAATTATCATTATTTATATTCGGACTATTGTCCTCATTTTTGTTGTTTTTATCACAGCGTTTCAGTCGTTGTGCTCTCCGTCCTCAGGTCTCTATATGTAGATTTATGTAACCTACAGAGAGAGAACAGTGTACCCCCGTGGATTAAATTAAGGGCTCATTTCAGAATTCAGTGTAGGTTACCCAGATCGATATATACCCTAGGAAGGTCGAAGAACACAACGGCCGAAAAGTTGCGATGACAACAACAAATATTAGGATAATAGTCTGAATATAAATAATATGAATAACTAAAAACATTTAGTTTCAAATAACAAAATTCAGTGTAGTGTTACCTTCGGAATTCGTTCGATCGACCCGGTTTTATTGAGATGACTAAAGTCAACACAAAAGAGCAATACGCTTAAGTCATTGCATATTCCTGTTAAATGTTTAAAAAAATCTTTTTAGCAGTAATATTTGTAATCTCCGTGAGAGGCAGTTCGGAGCATCTGCGCTGGCCAAATTGTGGGGTCAGAAGATGCGAATTTCGCTTAAAGTAAAGGGAAGTAACTCTGATTTAAACCCGTTTGATTCATCAAATATCCAGAAACCACTACCAAGCTTACAATATTAAGGTTGACTACCCAGAGGCTAATCGTCACAGATTAGTTGCGTGCTATACATAATCAATAATCAATTAAATATCGTGCGTAGCTGACCGCACCAAATCAGCCCAATTTAGGTCAGCGCGTTCGTCTGCTGGTTCTGACAAACAAGAGATCAGTGATTGAATTAAAAAAAAATATATTTCGCCCCAAGCAAAGAAATAAAGCCAATAAGACGCAAGTGGAGGTTACTGAGTGTGAGAGCATGTGAGAAAAAGAAAACCTTAATAAACAAAGAATACAATAAAAGAACTGGAATCAAGAAGACAGAAGATAACGATTGACATTGCATTTGAATTCTGAAGACCAAATTTGATTGAAAAACAAGGGGCCGGAAGAGAGTTCCACAAGTGAAAAGTGCGAGAGGAGAAAGAGTTATGATGACTGTATTTAACACGAAACTCGGAGTCGTACTTCAACGTAAGGCAATATATATATATATATTTAAGTAATTCATCGAGTCTAGAAGAAACCTCACCAGAATGCAGAAAGCACTGGACGGCCGTTTCGTCCTATATTTGGGACGCATCAGCAGTGCGCATCCACTACCGAGAATTGAAACCCGGACAGTTACATTGACAGACAAACGTCACACCAACTGTACTAACGGGCCTCGGTGACGAAGCGGTACTAGACTCGATATCGCGCCGCTCGTTCACATATTCCGTGGTGGAACTCATCCAAGTTCCTTTACCCATAGGACTGTGACTCCGAGAGGCACGACTACGATCACCAAGCCGCTCCATCCAGTGCATTAGAAGCCGGTTTAAGCAAGGATATACAAATGATAGAAATTAAGGGGGATCTGAGATAATTAAGTAATTCATCGAGTCTAGAAGATATATTGGGGGAAAACACATATTTGTATACATACAAATTTTTAATTTATTTTATTTACAACTAATGAATTAACATAC